CACATGCAACATAAGTTTTCTCAACTATTTAATTGATTACATTTATTGGCGGCCAATCTTATTAGCCAGACTCTGAGGGTTATTGCCAAGCCAAGTTGCCCTTCTCGTTTTATGTTTTGTTAAACAAAATGCAGGGTGTTTCCCCCCCCCCCCCAAAAAAAAATACCGACATGGATACCCATTGGGCTGCATGTTCTTGTTTACATGATCCGATAAGTACATATTCCAAGAATGCCTCCGTTTTTATTTTTAATAGGATAAGCCATGATAAGGATAACCCACGTAAACAAAAGCTCTTTGTTACATGATGATATGCAAACAGATTGTTGACATACCACAGTAATACTATTCCTATTAATAAATCATAACACCATTCCCTTCCGGCATGGATGATGTTACCTAGTTGGGTATTGAAATGTCTGTAACGAAACAAGGTTATAGAGCACCAAGGATCCCACAGTCGTTGTCTTTACCCTCCTCTTCCTCCTCCTCCTTCTCCTCACTGGTCATGATGGGCACCGAAGATGGTGTTTGATTTCGTTATACAAGGTGCAATGACAATAAACTAAACTAAACTAAACTAAACAACTCCCCCCTCCTCCTCCTCTTCCAACCCCACTCCTTTGTAACACTGATGGTGTTATTTAGTGGGGTAATGAAACGTCTGCAAGAAAACAGGCAGGCTCAAGAGAGCGCCAAGGACCTCATCCAGTATTCTCTTCCATTGGTAAGATATTTGGCCTGGAAAGAAAAAGGAAAAAAACCAGCTAGCTATCTGTTGCACCCGAGACCCGACCCTGCTGCCATCGTGGGATTGCCCAGATTTTTTCCAGTCTAATCACGGAAGCTTCCGCTTCGGGACAACCCCCGCCCCCCATCTTACAGTAGCTTCCTTGCTTGTTCAGGAAGGAAAAAAACAACCTTGGGGATTTGTAGCCCAGAACCTGACAGTCCTCTTGTTGCTGGTGTTGAAATCCAGCTTGTCTCATTTAGACAATCAAAGAGGCACTTTGTGATCCTGGCACGGGGAGAGGCTTCCAGAAATGCCCACGGCGCTTTCCCCCCTGTTGTCGTTATTTAGGAGAGTTCAAAGTAAGGCTTTGATCTATTCTCAGCTTGTGAATTGCACCTCTGACATCTTGGAAGTGTTGGGGAATTTGCTCTTGGGCTCACATGCTGCGAATTGGAGTCTCTGGTCTCGTGGTGGCATGTTTATTCCTGAGAAGAAGACCGAAGTGATGGAATTTCCCATCTCTTGCCTGGTTCAATCAGAACCCAGCATGCAAAGGGTTTTCCTTCCTTCCTTCCTTCCTTCCTTCCTTCCTTCCTTCTCCTCTTGAGGTTATAAACCTATTCAGTATAATATACTGTATGAAAAAAACTTACAAGAATATTCCTTCCTTCCTTCACTTCTTGAGCTGGATATAAACTAATTCAATAACATACTGTATCTCCAACAGGATCATGAAAGAAAACTGCTAAGAATCCTTTCTTTCTTTCTTTCTTTCTTTCTTTCTTTCTTTCTTTCTTTCTTTCTTTCTTTTTTTTCTTTCTTTCTCTCTCTCCTTCCTTCCTTCCTTCCTTCCTTCCTTCCTTCCTTCCTTCCTTCCTTCCCTCCCTCCTTCCTAGGAATGCATAATGCACCAAGAAGCATTTTGGGTTGTGCTCTGAACCAGGTAAGAAGTCCTTAATAACACCATCCATGCTGAAGAAAAGGTTTGTGGAGGTTTTCTGGAAAAGGAAGAGAGAGAAGGAAAAAAAAAACACAGTCCTTGTTGGCAACAAACAGTAGATGGCACTGAAACCCCAAGCAGTTCAAAGCTCATCTTCCAACATTTAATGTAGCAATATTCTCAGAACTTTAGCACTGCTCTCCAGCCTTCAGTGCATTAGAAGCAGGGATCTTATTTAAGAAATAAATAATAATTAGATAAAGCAAGGAACATTGTAATTGCGTGCTCCCGTTGTTAATGTCCTGCAAAATCTCAGGCTTGTTGAATATCAGTATCTACCATGGCACTAAGGTTAAAGGGCCGTTCACACAAAGAGGCAAAGTTTGCAATTTTAAGAAATCAGGGATTGGGGCAATAAGTGGTAAATTAGAGAAACAGCCAACCAAAGTTGCTCTGGGAATGCTCAAAACGAAGATTTTTGAGTATCAAATGCTAGTGAGATGGAATAATTTCTTTTAAGGTAGCAAGACCTGTAAGTAGTCCCTGACTTCTAAGTATTCATTTACCGACCGCCCAAAGTTACAACGGTCCTGAAAGAAGTAGTTTATAACTGATCTTTTGCAAGGCGGATTTTTTTTCCTGAGCTCTTGTACGACCGAATTCTGCCCAGCATTTATATACGTGCCGCAGTGAGGAATTTAAAGCAAGAGAAGAAATTAAGAGCCGAGTGCGTCAAAACAATGACCACAAATGCAACGCTTCCTTCCTTTTTCAACAGACTTTATCTCCAAACAAGGGACTGCAGAAACTTCGTAGATGACCCTGCAACCTCTCCGTAGTGACCTGTGAAATATGAAATAGGAGTTTTAATTACAGAAAAAAACAGAGAGTGCCTTTTATATGTTTAATATTTAATGCGCTACAGCAATTTGCCGTTCAAAGACAGTCAAGCGTTTCCCATTTTTAAAAATGGTTGTCTTCCCTTTTTCCCTGCTCTCTATTCAGGGTGCAGCTATTCCTCAAAACATGGGATCCTCCAAGAAAGTTGGATAGTGCTTGCCTTCTTGGGAATCCCAGTAGCCGGAGACTACTTTTGAAGAGAAGGGGGATGGGCTCTGTCCCACAATGCGACAAGCCTGGGGCATTGTGGGAAATCAAAATAGAATTAGAATAACAGAGTTGGGAAGCACCTTGGAGGTCTTCTAGTCCAACCCCCTGCTTAGGCAGGAAACCCTATACCATTGCAGACAAATGATTGTCCAATCTCTTCTTAAAGACTTCCAGTGTTGGAGCATTCACAACTTCTGGAGCCAAGTTGTCCCACTGATGAATTGTCCTCACTGTCAGGAAATTCCTTCTTGGTTGCTTCTCTCCTTGATCAGTTTTCACTCATTGCTTCTTGTCCTGCCTTCTGGTTCTTTGGAGAATAGCTTGACTCCCTCTTCTTTGGGGCAGCCCCTCATATATTGGAAGATTGCTATCATGTCACCCCTAGTCCTTCTTTTGATCAGACTAGACATACCCAGTTCCTGCAACTGTTCTTCATGTGTTTTAGCCTCCAGTCCCCTAATCATCTTGGTTGCTCTTCTCTGCACTCTTTCCAGAGTCTCCACATCCTTTTTACATCATGGCAACCAAAACTGGATGCGGGATTCCAAGCGTGGCCTTACCAAGGCATTATAAAGTGCTTTTAACACTTCAAGTGATCTTGATTCTATCCCTCTGTTGATGCAGCCTAGAACTGCGTTGGCTTTTTTGGCAGCTGTTGCACACGGCTGACTAGAGGCTCTTTACCAGTCTGATAGCCTCTAGATTATGGTAATTTATTAATTACTTATTATCAGTTATTAATTATAGTAGTCTAGATTGTGTTGTGTTGTATTTAGATTAGATTAGGTTAGATTAGATGAGGTGACTAGAGTCTAAAAGATATAAAGAACATATGCAGGAATTGGGTATATCTAGTCTAATCAAAGAAAGGACTAGGGGTGATATGACAGCAGTCTTCCAGTATCTGAGGGGCTGCCCCAAAGAAGAGGGAGTCAAGCTATTCTCCAAAGCACCTAAAGGAAGGACAAGAAGCAACGGGTGGAAATTAAGCAAGGAAAGAACCAACCTGGAATGAAGGAGAAATTTTCTGTCCGGTGTTTTGGATGCCAGCAAAGAAGGAACACGCCTACTGTCTAGGAATTCTGGAGTTATAGTCCCCATTCATCTGGAGGTTCTTTGTCAAGGGAAGATGCAATTAGGAAGCCAGATAAAGGGATATTAATAATCATAGCTTGAGGAAATATCAATTTGCTTATTCTACAATGATCCTGAGGGATATTTAGGACATTCCAAGGGTGTTTAGATTAAGCATCAAGAAATGAAACTTGCAAGGATTTTCAAGCTGTGCATTGGGGAGGAAAGGAAAAAAAAAAAAAAACAGAAGTCAGTGATGGAAGGAGGCAGCAGAAGAAAGTCAACCATCCCAGCTCTCGATCATTAAATTGATTTCTCCGTATCCCTCTCCTTCCCTCCTATCCCTCTGAGAATGCTAGATTGGGAACATTACTGCTTTTTCATTTTGTTTTGACACGGCACCTTTAAAATTTCATGCCTGCACGGGAGAGCTCGTCAAAGTGACAGATAAAAGTTGACATTAATCTCCGCTGTGTCACTCTGGTGACTGGCTGTTTTTGATTTGCCCATTACCCTGTGGGATCATCAGGGAAACGCAGGAATACAATACCGGAAAATTTGGTTACCAAGAATGGGGTGCTGTCGAAATGCAACTCTCTGGAGTGATACCGTTTTATTTTGTGCAAATTAAGATAGATAGATAGATAGATAGATAGATAGATAGATAGATAGATAGATAGATAGATAGATAGATATGATAGAAATAGATATGGAGATA